TTTTTAGCTCATGATGTTTTTACCTCGACTCCCACAGCTGTGCGAGCATTCTGCCCACGGCGACCACTCAGAGAGCACACAGCTGACAGGACAGTTGACTACGCAGCTCTCTGTTAGAATCCACTTGTTGATCAAGCCAAACTGTAGAAAACAAGAACAGATCTGAGAGGAGGGCTAGCTAATTATTTCCACTAACAAGAAAAGGGGGAGCGAACACATTTCCATATTTTAAATACGCTACAGTTCATTTCAGACAGTGGAAAAGCAGCAGCTGAAAATAAAACCCTAACAAAAAAACTTTCAGATGCTATGGAGCTGTTGATGTACATTATATTTAACACAGAGACAACATAATTGCTACATTCATCCCATTAAAATTGCATTAAGTGGATAGTGCAATATGATTCTGGATGTGCCAGAGGTTACCATACATTTTGAAAGTGTTTGGTTTGCTTCACAAAAATGAGAAATCTTTTTACGTCTACTGTTATTCGATTACAGTAACGTAAGAGCGCCATTTGTCTTTGCACAAATAAAGTCAATAACATTAAGTTGTGTTTGGCTTAGTGGCAAAGTTGGTATGAAATCAGATACAACATTTTCACTTAATCAAATTGGGCAACTGAGCTTTCAATAATAAGTAGGTAATGAGAACAGAAGCAAAGCTGCTGCACTGCAATAGCTGTCAATATTTCAGATTTTGCAAAGTACAAGTTAATTTTGTGCATTTTTTAAAACTTGTATGGCTTTGGAATTTGACTTGCACCCAAAAATATGTATATATGTGTGATGAAACTTTTCATTTTTACATTAAACATCTTTAATTGTCTACACAGTGATTACCTGCTCACACTTCTGCACCTCCATAACCTTGCCATCGCTGCGAATACAGTCCAGGAGACGAAAACGTGATCCCTGACCGCAGATGGCATTTTCACTCAGCTGGCATGTACTCCAGTCTAGATGCACACAGCAACATATCTTCATTAGTCTCACTGTCAAACCGTCTTTTATGTCAACGCTACTGGTCTACAACAACAGCAACATTCTGCACTAATCCCAACAAGCTCACGCTCGGCTGTTTCTTTGTTTAGGAAACTCCCTGAAATCAAGATTTCTTTGTCAAGAGAGACTTGAGACCATTGCACAACCACAAGACCACAATAATGAAAATGATTCACTCAGAACAACTATCCCAATCACCCAAACAATGAAGCAGTAACAAATATTGTACTCAGTAGTCTCTCATGGGGATGAGCGTCTCTAACTCAAAGCTGAGCTAACGTTTATTGCAGAAGTAGTGGTAATGAGGTGCACAGAACTGGGAACCAGTGTAACCATATTCAGTGATGATGAGGATGGGGGATGATGGCAGTCTGGTGTATTGAAACCAAAGGATTTGCTGGTAGACAGCATATCCACTGCAGAGCCAGCTCTGGCAATTTAGGTACCAAAGGCAAAAGATTCTGGCTGTACTGGGAATAATTAACAATTAATAGTTGTATTAATTATTCACTATTAATGAATAATTAAATGAAATAATTAATAATTAATTCACTTTATTTCAATCCTGG